GTGTGTGTGTGTTGTGAAGGAAAGGGGTGGGGGGAGGAAGAAAGAGTCTATGTGAATGATGGCCGGTTAGTTCTATAAACCACGAGCCGCCACTGGATCCAACTCTAGACAAGGAGTGACCGAGTGAGTGACTGAATCTTGCGCGATTGATCACGTGAATTTTAAAGGAGCATGCGCAGAAATCGCCACGGCCAGAACACAGAACATGCGCAGAAATCCGCAATAGCCAAAAGCCGCAGGCTAGGCGGGGCTAATCGACCGAATTCGTTCGCCCGGAACATGCGCAGAAATCCTAAATCGGGAGAGTCACCCGACATCGTGCAAGTAGCCACTCCGTAAGGTATAACCTGTTTTGTTCTGTTCTGATGCAGGGCTCTGTCCCTCCACTCCACTCCGCCGTCTGGGAAGTGCCGAGAGGCGGTCCCACCAGACCGAGACAGGACCCGACCCCTAGACCGCCACCACCACCACCACCCGAGATGCCTCACAAGACAGACTGTTGTTTCGACGATGGTCCTGACCCACACCCTACCGGAACCCTCACCGTCACTCTCACTGGCCAGTACTCCGCCACCATCATGCAACGAATCAACGAGACACACCCCGACCTGCGGATCAAGAAACACAACCGATTACAAGAATCTTACACCATCTACTTTTAGTCGCCACCGGGGTCAGACTTCTCAGTACCACACGCAACCGTTCTAAATGACGTGGCGGAGGGAACGGACGCCCTCCTCCCAATTACCGGTCATGAGAGAAGAAAAATCTATCTTCAGTGAGTTCCGGTAACCTTCACGCAGGAACACATCCGGAAAGTGGTCAGGACCTTCGCCGAACCTGACTCAACCACCGACTTCCTCCCCAGACGATACGGCTCCGACGACAAACACATCGTCCTGGCGGAGGCCGACCCCAACGACGTCCCCGTCCCCCTCTACGTGAGGATCTCGGGCTGCGGGCCGGACCCCCTCAACATCATGATAACCCTCCCGGGCGCCGCATCGCCTGCCTCCACTGCGCCCGGCTAGACCATTACTCCAACAAATTCCGGCCCGCAGATCTGACAACAGCGACGACACACCCGCCACTAGGACCGCCCCCACCACGACAGAACCTTCCACCTACGCGGACCAACTGAGAGGACGACGCCCCGCCCCCACAACGAGACTACCACACTCTACGACAACCGACACCCCCGCCACCAACGTTCCAACTGCCGACACCCCCCGAAGCCCGTTAACGAGCCCGCCTTCAACCTGACTGCCCCTGGCACCCCAACCGCCGCCGCCTCCGCCGCCCTACTCAAATCTCCTGCCAAGACCCCGAAGAAGACACAGCCCCCTACAAAGACGCAGAACACAACGAAGACGCCGACAAGGACCCTCCAACCTCCACCAGTAACACCCCCCCCCCCCCGAGGACGGTATGACAGAATTGACCAAAATTCCGAACTTGACCGAGGAGGCGGAAAACAACCCAATAGTAGACAGCGAGAGTGACAGTGAGAGTGACAGTGGTGGACGACGACTGACAATAGACACCGACCCCGAACAGGACAAACAGGACAGACCGACGAAACACATAACAGAAATGACTCGAGAACAGAAAAGAAGAAAAAGACAGAGAAACTCTCCACCAAACGGACAAACCCCTCACCAAGACGACAC